TTTGGGGGAACATAGATACCCTTCTGGCCGAGCTTGTGCCACTTGGCCCGCTGGCACCGCAAGGCCAGGGGAAAAGATCCCGTCACTTCGAGATCCGAGTCTTACTCCAGCACTTTAACGGGTGGGCGAGGTTTGAACTCGGTTTCATTCGCGAGGGAGCCAAACCTGCGCGGCCCGCCGCCCATTGCGTAGCGGTCCTCGTCCGTGCGCGAGAACGCCTTGGCACCCCTAATTAGTTTCGCCGCCGGGGTCCGGGAATCGCTGTGGGCACGTGGGTCCTCGGGTAGGAATGACGGTAGAAGGGGGCAATACCGTCCGGACCGTACGCTTCGGACTACCGCCGTTGACATTGGGGCGCACGAGGGGCTCAACGGGCAGGGGGCTCCCCCCGGGATTCGCAGGGTTGCATCGGCTCGAGCTGGAGACCTTTCTCTCTTCTTCTCCGCCCTGCCGCGCCGTCGGAGCTTCTGGGAAAAAGAATAAAAAAGAGTCCTGGGCAGCAGTTGCTGGAAAGTCTCTGCTAAGACTCCTCCCAGCGCCGCTGTCCTCCCAAGTCCTCGCCAAGTCCGGACGAGGCAGCGGCGGCAGCCAGGGCTGGCTGCACAAACCTCGGCGCATGCTCCGGCCGCCGGCCCGGGTCGGATCCTAGTGGGTGTTGCTTGTCCCGTCACCCCGAGTGAGCCCCTTAAGGGACGCCTCACCTCTGCGAGACACCGTCCAGGAGCCAAAGCCAGGGACTTTGGGGACGTCCACGCACTGAGCCCCTTGAAAATGGTGGTGCCGGAGGAGGGGAGGGGAGGCTATAGCCATAGGGAAGCAGGCTCTTATTATATGAAAATATTTGTGTTTGAGAAGGGGGGTGAAAGAGTGGACCAACCCAATTCCTGCAACGAGAAACCAGTTTTCACAACCTTTTGGGAACAACCTCCTGTGATTTGTCACTAACCTGGTGCCCTGTGATCCTTTTTATTGCTTTGTTGCCTCCCGGATTAAAACACACACACACACACACACACACACACACACACACACACACAACCAGTTCTTTCCTACTTCCATAATGCACATGCACTAGGAAACACGAGTAAACGTGTCCAGGTCTGACATCCAGCATAGGAAGAAAATATTTTTAACTCTTTCACAGGTAATCCAAAAACTTCAAATTTTTCTCCCAATTAGATGGAGTTTTAAGTGGGTGATTTACCTTGAATTGTGTACATACTAATGGACTTGGATTTTTTTTTTTAAGCTAGAGATTCAGGGAGTATTAAAATAATAATGGGAAACTATCCTTCTTCTTAAAAGCTTCTTTGGGGAGTAAGAAGTTTCACACATAAAAATCACTCCATCATATCTCCATATAAAAATCTGATATTTTATGCCTCGTGATAGCCCACATTTCTATAATTATTGTTATGCACATTGTGTGGCAAATAAATCTGACACTAACAAATCTGAATTCCCAGAAATTTAAAAAAAAACATTTTTTAGAGAAAGATAGGAATTTATTTGAGCCAAACTGACAGCAATTATCAGGAAGCAAAATCTCAGCGAATTGAGGAAATGTGCTGGAGAATGGCAGTTACACATCTTATTATATTTTATTTTATAATAGTTTATATGCAATGTTATTTTGTATTAGTTTCAGGTGCACAGCACAGTGGTCAGACAATCACACTTCACAAAGTGCTCCCCCCCTTCATATTTTCAGGACCCACCAGGCACCTTACATAGTTGTTACAATGTGATATGGTATTTGTCTTTCTCTGACTGACTTATTTCACTTAGCACAATACTCTCGAGGGCCATCCATGCTGTCACAAATGGTAAGATTTCCTTCTTTTTTATGGCTGAGTAATATTCCATTGTTCAGATATACCACCACTTTTTATCTATTTGTCTGCTAATGGCACTTGAGTTGCTTCCATATCTTGGCTATTATAAATAACACTGCAATGAACATAGGGGTGCACATATTCTTTTGAATTAGTGTTTCAATTTTCTTCGGATATATACCCAGAAGTAGAATTGTTGGGTCATAAGGCAGTTTCATTTTTAATGTTTTGAGGACACTTTATATGTTGTCCATAGTGACTGCACCAATTTGCATTCCCACCAACAAACAGTATACAAGGGTTCTCTTCTCTTCACATCCTCACCAACACTTACTGTTATTGATTTATTGATGGTAGCCATTATGACAGATGTGAGGTGATGTATCTTTGAGGTTTTAATTTGCATTTCTCTGATGATTAGTGATGTTGAGCAGCTTTTTGTATGTCTATTGGCCATCTGTATGTCCTCTTTGGAGAAGTGTCTATTCAGGTCATTTGGCCATTTTTTAAATTGGATTGTTTGTTTTTTGGTCTTGAGTTGAATGACTTCCTTATAAATTTTGGAAATTAACACCTTACCAGAAATATCATTGGCAAAATCCCATTCTGTAAGTTGTCTTTTTGTTTTGCAAGCAACATCTTTGAGAAAACCTAATAATGGGGATCCTATTTACATTGCTCTAAGGGCGGGGGGCCGGGTGGATAGAATCCTGTGTTTGTCATTGCCTGTCAATGGTCAGTTGCTGCACAACCAAAGTGACAATGAGACATATACTCATTTGGGTAGAAATAAAATCATGACTACAGGAGAACCCGTGTTCTGGGTTAGAGTTAGCACAATCTTGGAAAGCAAGTCACTAAGCTGAATGTAAGGCAGCAAGCCCCAAAGAGCTCAAAGACAGCCATCTACACAAAACACCAAGAAAAGTGTCCAGGCATCCGTTAGGTGACTCTGACTCTGGCAGCAAAGTATCTTCTGGAAACATGGAGAAGAGCGAAGAAACCCACTTTTATCCGCCATCAGTTTCTGCTCAAATGAGAGAGCTACAGAGACAGCCCATCACCTGAATGCTGTTGGAACCACCCGTTCCTCTGAGAGATAGAAACACCCCCACATTGGCAGTCTATGACTAGCATCAAAAATGACAAAAAGAGCACAAAAACTCCCATGGCACTGAACAGAGATCCTCTTCTAATTCTGGGACGCAGTCAGTGCCTTTCCATAATACATAAACATTTTAATATATTTTTTATTCATTTCAGAGAGGAAGGGAGAGAGCGATAAAAAACATCAATGATGAGACAATCATTTGATGAGACAATCATTATCGGCTGCCTCCTGCATGTCCCCCACTGGGGATCAAGTCCGAAACCTGGACATGTGCCCATGACCTCCTGGTTCATAGGTCAACACTCAACCACTAAGGCAAACCAGCCGGGCATAATTCATAAACTCTTAAGGGCTCTAAGTAATATAATTTTAGAGGAAGTTGCTTGGGAAGTATATATGCCCCTACCCTTTTTTAGTAAATAAATAATATGGAACCATAGAAGTTAAAGGAGTTGCTCAACATTATATCTATAGTTAAATCAGATCCCAAACTAAAATTCAGAATCATACTCTCTAACAGCACGTGAGTTCAGTGATTCTCAAAACTGCAGTCTGTTAGAGTCACTTGGGAAGTTCTGAAAAAATTCTAACACTTAAGCCATACCCCACACCAGTCAAGCCAGCGTCCCTGCAGATGTGACCTAGACAGCCAGGATTTTCAAAGTTCCCAAGTTAATTCTAATCTGCAGCGAAGGCTGAAAATCACTGCAACTAACGCCTTACAGATGCCAGAAAACTAGCAAAGGGGTCTCTTCAGGTTTAGCTGGATCCAATCCCTCACTTGTGAGTTGATAAATTAAAATTAATATCCTCATTTTACAAGTTAAGAAAACAGAGCTCTAGTTTCTGCTATAATATTCTCGATAAACCGATATCAGAGTATACTGGTATGAGTTAAAATTTCAGTAGAGGAGATCGCACCACATTGGGGACACTGCGGGACTGGGCAGCCATGATTCTTTCAACCTGACCATGCCTGCCTTCAACTCCTGCCCCTCAACTCGAGTTCTGCCTTTTGGAGTTCAGAGCTTGAGCAATCCTTCTCCCATCTGCAGCCCTTCAACTCCTTGAGGGCAGCTGCTCTCCCCTCCCTCTCCAATTCCTGTCTTCTCCAGAATTACAGAAGCACAGTACGACTTGCCATCACAGCTGTCAT